GTCCAGAACGGATCCCTCATGAATTGGGAGGGGCTACTGTACATTATGAGAGATGTCCTGTTCTGGGATTCCATACCAGAAATGGTGGGAATGGTATGTTGTTATTCTTTGCTTCCAGCTTATGGCAATCCTAAGACGTTTGGAGTCATTGAATTTTATGAGGCTGAGAGTGTGTGACCTGCTCAGTGTTGCCCAGTGGGTTTCCATGGCTGAGGAGGGAATCGAACTCTGATCTCCAGAGTCACAGTCCAACATTCAAACCACTATACCATGCTGGCTCTCAGGAATGACATATACTCAAGCATTTAGTGGATGAAACTCAAGACCTATATGGCCTAGCAACCTCAGAGTGGTCAAGATGGTAACAATTATTAATGAGGAAGGCCACACAAGCTAAGGGATGCATCTGCAGTTTGCTTTTGCTCGAGTGTACTGGGAAAGCCAAGATGGAACCCCACTCTCTCCTTCCTTTGAATTAATAGAGTACAAATCACTTTTGCATTTTGAACTCAGTTTGAGCTGAGGACTAACAGGCAAAGTGGCAGGAGGAGAGGGAAACTGGGATATTTTAGAAACAGCTGAAAGAATGGGACAATAGAGAATTAGTCTGGACTGTCCCTGCCAAATCAGAACAGTTGAAGGGTATGGAATGAAGGTGGTGCCCCTAATACGAATTCTGGAAAAGTTTTGGTGGTGGTATTTTTTTGGACTATAGCTTCCAGAATCTCACAGGCTAAGGAATTTTGCAAATTATAGTCCAAAAATAGCTGGGGAAGGTGTAATCCAAAATTCTGGTTGGTGGATTCTGTGAGCTATAGCCCAGAATGACTGGTGAATTTGGGGAGTTGTGGTCCAAAATGCTGGCTGGGGGATTTACCCAAATTCTCTTTTGCAAGATCTCATTACTAGCTGTATTGCACTCTTGAGTCAGGAAATTACCTTGTGTGCTCATTGTATATTTTCATTTTCTACAGAAAAAGTTGCCCTTGATGGCATTGTCCATGACCATGGCTGAAAGCTTCAAGGAGCTTGACACTGATTCCAGCCTTGGGTAAGAATCCCTTTATTTCATGGATTAAGACATATATAAAGTGGTCACCTGTAGAACATAAGCAAGCAACATATATTGCAGGTTGCTGGTTCTTAGGGTCATGTAAGAGTAACCATCTCTGTCCTTAATCTGTCATAATCATTTGCAAAACCACCACTGCATTCTAAATCAAGAACCACTTTTGCAATAATTGGCCTGATTAAATTGTCTTGTATTGGACTAGAAAAATAATATACTCTTTTAAAGGTCTCTATCATACTGCAGAGTAATAGCTCTGTGATTCCTTGTTAATACCATGGCTACATCTTATGGAATCTTGGGATTTGCAGGATTTTGGGAGGAATATTTGGGATTTTCAGCCAGAGATCTCTACTGCCTCACCAGATTACAAAACCCATGATTCCATAGGATGTTGCCATGGCAGATAAACTGAAATCATAGTACAGTTGCCCCTCCCAATTCACAGGGGATCTGTTCCGGACCCCCCCTCCTTGCACAAAAATGGCGGCTCACTAATATTGGGCCCCATTGGAAATAATGGTGCACATGCCTGAGGGGCCATGCACAGGTGCGCATGGCTATTTTAGATATGGCAGTTTTCCCTCCCTGTGAAGAGCAAGACCGCGGACCTCAAGTCTGTGAATGGGGAGGGACAACTGTATTGTAATAGTGTAGTGTAAAAAAAACAGTGGTATCTTTCTATTTCATGAAGTGGCTACCACTGATCCTTGTACAAAAGAAAAGAAGCAAGCTGAGTCTCCTTTATTGTTGTTTCATAGGTTTTCTTTGAATTATCTGCTTTGGGTTTGTGTTTTATCTGGAAAGGACATCTCAAGAAAGAACTCTACATTACACTTAGGAATCTGCTTCATACTGAGTCGCACCATTGCTTTGTCTAGACCAATATTGCCAACTCTGACTGGCAGTGGTTTTCTGGGATTTCCAGCAGGATTCTTTCTTAGTCTGCCCTGGAGATCCCTGATGGTCTTTCATGTTAACACTGATCAGACACAACTCTGCTTAGCTTTGAAACTGGACAACACTGGGTGTGTTAAGGGTGGCATGCTGACACATCCTCTTGCTCGTCTGTTTGCATAGCAATAGGGGACCATATGGAGTCGAGAGCCAAAGAAACATTGGATATTTCTGTCAGGGGTGTGTGTGTCATGTTGGCAATTGTGTGCTGTGTGCAATCAATCTATCCTGTTGCTTTTTGTGGATTATTTCTGGTATGGAGAAAGACAGAAGTAGTGGAGAGAAAACATGGAAGGGCTGCAAACCTGAATGCAGAATTCCATGAGCCAAACAGCGAGATTGTGCAATAAAAGCCTCATTTGGAAGTAGCCATATCGCACTGACCTCTGACTGCCATATTATGGATTCTATTTAAGAGGCAGCTTCTTGTTATGCTGCCGTCTATCCTGCTACACCTGGGCATTCTGCAGATGAGAAGGATGACAACTTTCCTCAAGAACAAAAGTCTCAAGTAACTGAAGCCCATTTAGGGAGAGGTGCCAGCTTGGAAATGTTACTTTTCTGAACCACAGTGCTCAGAATCCCCTTGTCAATAAATAGTCCCTCTGACCATGCTGGCTGGGAATTCTAGTAATCCACCAAATAATGATTCCAAGCTCTACTGAACCCACACTAAATCACAAGTGGAGAAAAGAGTCTACACAAAGAAGAGATAGCAAGCAGTGTAAGGATTTTGTGTTACAGTCATTGATTTATCCTGGGCTCCTAGAATTCCCAGCCAGCATGGTCAAAGAAATTACTGCCAAGGGGATTCTAAGCTTTGTGGTTCAAAAAAGTAACATTTCCAAGCTGGCACTTCTCCCTAAATGGGCTTCAGTTACTTGAAACTCTTGTTCTTGAGGAAAGTTGTGTAGCTTTTTGTACACAATAGTGGCTGGTCTGGGCTTGCAGAGCATATTCTTAGCAGGAGGAAGGAGAATATACTCTTTGACCTTTGCTGTATGTCGCTTGCCCATACCCCCAAAGACTAAGCGTTTATTGCGAATGTATGCCCTTCCAGTGGAAGTTGACAGCTTTCATGCCAATGGAGTGGTGAATCTGCTCTGGGATTTAGACTGAACTACCTGTGGTGCAGAACCCGATCTATAAAATAGGTTCAATAGCTTGGATTATGCATTTAAAGTCCAAAGTAAAATGCAGAACAAATTTGCCACCCCACCAGTTGCCATTACACTCCTCATTTCCCACAATAGCAGAGAGAAAATAGCTCAGGTTTTGCACATGACTGTAACACTTTCTTCCTATCTTGCTCACAGGAAGGCTCTAGAAATGAGCTGCTTTATCCAGAGTATGCTAGCCAGGATACTTGCTGAGTTTGAAATGGCCCTTGAACGAGATGTCCTACAACCTTTGAATAAATTGAGTGAGGTATCTATCCTTCAATCTTCTCTTCTCTACCTCTTCTTTAGCTTCTTGTTCTGACTACTCCCTCTTTCCTCCTTTGTTCTCCTACCTTTATCTCTTAATGCTGCCTCTAACAGGAATGTGGCCCTTCCTAAAAAAAACCAACAGACATGAGCTCCTGTGACTAGGGGGTCTGCCCACACAGAAATCCCTGGTGCTTCTGCGGCACTGCTGTATCATTACTTGTTAATGGTAAAATTGCCATTCTTTTTCCACATGGCAGTACTTAAAAAGAATAGGACATAAAGGTTTGTAGGATGATCTTGATTGCTTGATCCTCCCCTGCCTCGCTTTTCAAGTTGATGGATTTGTACCTGCATAGATTGTTCCCTGTATAGAGTATTGCATTTTATGGATCTTGCTGGTACAGTAATTTACCAAGAAAGAAATAGGGATGGTTTACAGTAACCATCTCACATCATATGAAAACACAATTCATTAGAAAAGACAATAATGCTAGGAAAGATAGAGGGTAGCAGAAAGAGAGGAAGACCGCATGCCAGATGGATAGACTCAATGAAGAAGGACATAGGCCTGAGTTTGCAGGACCTAAGCAGAGTGGTGGAAAATAGGGGATCTTGGAGATGTCTCCTCCATGGGGTCACCATAAGTCGGGATCGACTCTTAAGACAGTTAACAACAACAGCAATAGTAACTGTGGACAAGCAGAGTATATGCTGTTAGAGTAATCTACACAAGATCGGCAGGTGACTGTGTCTCTTTAAGAATGTAGTTCACAACATGCTGATCTTCCACCCATCTACACTTTGTTTTTACAGCAGGGATGGGCAGTCTATAATTCTGCATATTGGTAGACTGTAGCTCCCATCATCTCTGACTCACTGAGGTTGTCTGACCCTGTCTGAGGCTAATGGGAGCTAGAATGCAACTGCATCTGAATGCCAGGTTCACTTTTCTCATATTAGAGTGACACTCAACTTTTTTTGACAATTTCATAGTCTGAGATCTAGGAAGAGGAGGAGGTGTTAAGGTTGTTCTTTTATCTTCTGTTCCACCCAAATGTCCAAACGATGCAAAATCTTCTGGCTTCTCCATTACACATGTTAGCCTTTTGCTAGGTGTGCTCACAGGAAATATTTATATGAAAGTATGAAATACTTATCTAAAGAGCCTACTCAAATTTGAGCACATATGCGTAAGCACACATTTGCCTGCTCTGTTGTTTACAGCTATGGTACTATGTAGTTGCATGTTGTTAACAAAATCTTTTTTTTAATTATAGCTGACTTTCTGAGCTGTCAGAAGGGTTTAGATATGAAATAGAAGTCACTTATTTTCTTCTCAGAGACATTTAGCCCCTCTATCAATGGAGTGGAACAGTGAATAAATTGTTCCTGCATAGGCTAAAGCTACTCCTACTATTCTATAGTGAGTGTCTTACTTGTCCATAGTTCAAAAACTGTCACAGTGTCTGTGCAAGAGGTATAAAAGGGCATCACAAATCAGGAATAAAAAGCAGGAATCCAAGAAGCACAACAGAACGACTGTGACATTTCACAGACTATGAAGGTACAGGACATTACAGTAAATGAAAAATCAGCTATTGGGAATGGTAAAGATAAGGCAAATGATGAATTTTTAAAAATCATGTATTAGAAAGGCTTTCCTATAAGTTTGGTTTCCTAAGATAATATTAGTTATCTCACTCAGGAAGCCTTTTTTAAGGAAAGAATGGGTGAAACATTGAAGATGGTTGTGTTATGATTATCTTTTTTATTTTGAACAACATAGCTGGAAGCTTAACTCAAGAGAATTATTCTTAAGGAA